ATTGCTTCCATTTTTTGAAAATTTCTTGTATTCCTTTTCATAAAGTTAATCGGGATTTTAATGGAAGTAGTTTGGATATGACGTTTGTCGCCTCAGCCTGAATATCTTTTTGGTAATTTACTTATTCCGTTTTGAGCCATTTCGGTTGCGAATTATTATATTTATTTGTCAAATTACAGAGAAACCAACGCCAACCCAGCACAATATTTTTTCTACTCGTAATAAATTCCTTGAAATAATAATTTCTGAATATTTTTTAAAACGTAACTCGCTCTAAATATAAGTATTATTAAATGACATATAAAGTGTTAAATTCAACGAGCGTAACCATAGTTTATCGATATATAATTACAAGATATATGACTTTTATATATTTTTATATTATTTGCAATGTATGAAGTTGTTTAAAAAATTATTTGTGGCATTTGAAAAAAAAAATAGCTTGTTCTATTCAGAGTAAAAATAACTTTTTTCTACGATCGTGCAAAAAGTAGCTATTTTTTACACTATCTACTCTTTTACAAGTCAAAATTTTTGCTGTCCATCAAGTACCTTAGTAAATTTTTCAAACTGCAACATTAAAATTAAAATGAACTCAAAAAAAAGTTATTAAAAAAAATAAAAGTGTCGTTGTTAGTATTAATATTATTCTGTGAATTAGGTACTGTAAAATATTTTTAATAAACATTTAAATAAGAATTTTGATTCGATTTGTAGAAAAAATGTTCACTCGGCATGATTGCAGCTCTCGACTTTGTCTCAAGCTGCAAAACTCATGCGTCGTGTAACAAATATGTTATTTTTGAACTATTATAGTTTAAATGTTAAATTAACATTTTTTATCATTGTGTTGAACCCCATACCTAAGTATATTTATTTCTGAATGATAAAATCACGAATTCTCTGCTTTCAATACATCAATATTAAACCTGAGAACGTTTCCCTCGAATTTAACACACTACTGTCCCCTTTGTGTCGTGTCCCCTTTCACCACACGGTCCCCTAGCACGGTGTTTCCCCCCTACGCTCGTCGGTAAAGGACAGGCCGTCCAAGATGGCGACCGTCCGACCAATGGCCACAGAGCATACTAGCGGGGCAGGATGTCCAGTTAGCGTGCAGCTTTGCTCCGAACACAAAGAAAGGAAAAAAGGGGTCACGCAGAACAATAGAATTGCGTAGAGTGTGGGAATGAACCCCATTGGCGGAACGCCACTGGAAGACGGTGAATAGAATCGATGCGGAGCATGGGTGTAGGTGAATTTTGTTGGCTGAATGAAATATTAATAATTTTTGAGACAACTGTTGTCCATTTTTTTATATCTTGCAATGTTGTTGTTTACATTTCAAAGGAATTTCAGTTAAAGAACTATTTTATTTGAATAAAAGCAGGTACTTGGTACTTGAATACACAGTGTCAAGATAAAAAAAGACAAAATAAGGCCAATCGATAATAAATTTGTAATTATTTCTTGTGAAACTAAATTGCTTTGGATGTATTATTAATACCATATAATCGAAAAAAAAAAAACGGCGTCAAAGACGGATGGGGAATGACAATCGATAAACATTTTGGCGAGATCAATTTCTAGTCATTTATTAAAAATTGCCATTAAAAATAAAGAAGAGTAAAAACCAAGTCTAGGACTCGACCTCGCCAAAATTGTCATCGATACCCAGCTGTCTTTGACGCCGTTTTTTTTTTCGATTGTATTGTTTCCATACCTGTAGACAAGATCTCTGGAAATAGGGTTGTCTCTTCATAGGACAATTTCGGGTCATTGTAAGATATAACATTGTAAGACATAATATCCTAAAAAAACATAAATTTTTACTTACAAGTATAATTGTGTTGTCTTTGACCTTTACTCATATGTTTTTAAGCGGTATATACAGAGTGAGTCTTAAATAAGTGCAGAGATTTTCAGGACAGGTAGATCTAGATAAAAGAAACATATTTTCTCTTTGCCGTTTTTCAAAAAAGTCCAAAATAACCAAGTTATTTTACTTTGAAAATTTCCAAAAAAAAAGATTTTCTGCCAAAATTTTGAGCACCACTAGATCTTTTCTGGATTTTCTGTGTAATTCTTGATACAAAAAAAAACGGCATCCAGTTGGCTTATAAATGACGATCGATGACATTCCCCATATAATTTTCCATATAAAATGACAGCGATCTTCATTTTATAGCCATCGCTAACGCCGTTTTTATTCGATCGTATTGTCAGATATTGTATTATTTTTTATACGAAATATAATAATAATTCTAATTTTTAGAGGTTTCTACTGGATCAGTCAGCCATTTCTGTGACGCTACTTCACCAAAATTATGGATTCACCACAATTACAGAACTATAGATCCATAAACGAAAAAAATATATAATATGAAAAAAATATGTAAACAATAAATTAATTATATTAAAGCAGATATGTATCATTTATTCCATTATTACCCTTTGTTTTATTAACTAATTATATCCATCAATAAAATTATAATTTACAATTATCAGTAAACAAATTTAATAAAATAAAAATAACTAATAAATATCAATTAAAAAATTCTTATTTGAATCAATTTTAATGCGCACATGTTAGGCAACCAGATATACAAATTTCATATTTAAAATTTACGTGGCGACATCTATTAAGAAGCCTTTAAACTTATCTTTTATAACCACAGAAAATATATAATTATAACTTACATATTTATTCTGTGGCAATGACTTTGACAACTAAAAATGAGGTTACGTACGAAATATAAAATTTTAATCTTTGTTTTTATTTAAATATTCTTTTTCTATCCTTTTTAATAACGAAGGAAAACTACATGAACATGTATATTTGCAAAAGGTCAATTATGTCACTTAGCAATACTCTGTCTCGATTGTCTTATTATTAAATAAACACCAAATATGGAGAGGTAGCTTATATTTCAAATAAAGAACATTTGTTTATTGTTTTTTGTTAATAGGGAGCCCCATCAAAGTGGGCATGGAGAGCCAGAACCCTGTGAAGGTAAAGAGACGTATGAAACCCAACAACTTAGTCCTAATACTTTAAAGGTAGCAGCCGCAGAATGTCTTAATAGTTGGATTGGGTATCTACAAGTAAGTTACCATATAATATAGGTAGTACAGTTGCTCATTATATGAAATATTTAGATGTTAAATACAATGTGTGCAGCTG